GTCTGAGGAACAGCAGGTGAAGATTTTTTCCCACATTGTGGGTTGTCTCTTCACACTGCTGGTGGTTTCTCTCGCTGTGCAGAAGCTTTGAAACAAGAAGAGATCCCACTTGTTGATTGTGCTAGTTCACAGGCAACTGAGGTTTTGTTCATAAAATCTTTTCCTACACAAATGTCAAGAGTTCTACCTAACCTCTGTTTTAGCCGGTTCAGTGTTTCTGTTTTAATATTTAGATCTTTAATCCATTTTGATTTTAGTTCAGTGCGTGGTGAGAGATATAGATCTAGTTTTAATCTTTAGCAAGTTAAAACCCAATTTTTCCAGTGCTATTTATTAAAGGGGGTATCTTTTCTCCAGTGAGGGTGTTTGGCTTTTTTATCGAAGATAAAGACTGAGTGTGTCTGGAGTTGTTTCTGCATCTTCTAATCTGTTCCACTGGTCCTAAGGTCTGTTTCTTTGCCAGTATCATGCTGTTTTTATCACAGCAACTTTGTACTATAGTTTCAAGTTGGGGATTGTGATACCCCCTGCCATGTCTCTGGTACCTAGAATTGCTCTTGCTATTCTGGGTCTCTTCTTGTGCCAAATGAATTCTTGGATTATTTTCTCAAGGTCTGTGAAGTATGCTGCTGGGATCTCAATTGCGATTGCTTTGAATCTATATAGTAGTTTTGGAAATATGGCCATTTTCACTATATTGATCCTTCCTACCCAAGAGCAGGGGATGTCTTTCCATTTTCTGATATCATCTTCAATCTCTCTTTTCAGAGTGCCAGAGTTTTCAGAGAAGAGATCTGTGATTTCTTTCGTTAGGTTGATTCCTAGGTATTTCAATTTTTTGCATGCTATTGTGAAAGGAATTATTTGCCCTATTTCTCTCTCAGTGAGTCTGTCATTGGTGTAGAGGAAAACTATTGATTTTTGTGTGTTGACCTTGTATCCAGCTACTCTACTGAATTTGGTTATTAAGTCTAGAAGGCTTTTGGTGGAGTCCTTGGGGTCATCTATATAGAGTATCATGTCATCTGCAGATAATGACAATTTGACTTCTTCATTTCCTATCTTTATTCCTTTTATTTCTTTCTCTTGAGTAATTGTCATGGCTAATATTTCCAAAACTATATTGAACAAGAGTGGTGATAGTGGACATCCTTGTCTAGTTCCTGATTTTAGTGTGAAGGATTTCAGTTTTTGACCATTTAGTATGATATTGGCTGTTGGTCTTTCATAGATGGCTTTTATCAGATTGAGGCAGAGACGATCTATTCCAATTTTTTGTAGGGTTTTTATCATAAAGTCATATTGGATTTCATCAAATGCTTATTCTGCATCTGCTGAGATGAGCATATAGTTTCTGCCCTTGGCTCTATTGATATAGTCTATTACATTTACTGATTTGGATATGTTGAACCTTCCCTGCATCCCTGGGATGAATCCCACTTGATCAGGGTGTGTGATCTTCTTGATAATCTTCTGCATTCTGTTTGCCAGTATCTTATTAAAGATTTTTGCATCTGTGTTCATTAGTGAGATTCATTAGTTCTCTTTTTTGGTTGGGTCTTTCTCTGTTTTGGGGATCAAGGTGATGCTTGCTTCCAGGAATGAATTTGGGAGTATTGCTTCCCTTTCACTTTCATTGAAGAGTTTAAACAGTAGTGGCAGTAGTTCCTCTCTAGATGTCTTGTAGAATTCAGCAGTGAAGCCATCAGGGCCCGGGCTTTTCTTACTTGATAAGTTTTTAATTACATTTTCAATGTCATTGGTTGATATTGAGTTGTTCAGAATTTTTAGGTCTCCTTCATATGTATCTAGGAATCTGTCCATTTCTTCTGTGTTTTCCATCTTATTGACATATTGGTTCTTTTTTATTTATTTATTTATTTATTTATTTTTGGTACCAGGGATTGAACTCATGTCCTTGCGCTTGCACTGCAGGTGGCGAAACCACTCAGCCAAATCCCTGGCCACATATAGGTGCTTGAAGTAGGTATTGATGATCCTCCGTATTTCTGCTAGTTTGTTGTTCAAACTCTTCAAAGGGAAATAAAATAGTAAAGATATAAATGACTTTAAATTGGCTAAAGACTTGAATAAGCATTTTACAAAAGAAAATATTCAAACGGTCTATCAGCATATGAAAAAATGTTCAATATCATTAGTCATTAGAGAATACAAAGGAAAACCACAATGAGATACTTCTACACACTCATGACAAGGGTACAAAATTAAAACTGATTCTACTAAGTGTTAACCAGAATGTGGCGCACGATCCTACATTCTGGTGGGTGTTTGAAATTCTGCAATCATGTTTAGAGTAATTTAGAATACTAATGAATTTGAATGTTCAACTGGCCTATGAGCTAGCACCAGCACTTCTAGACCTATCCCAAAAGAAATAAATATGCATGCTCAGAAAAAGCTCTGTGCATTAAAAAACACTTTATTCATAACAAGCAAAACTTAGAAACAGCCTAAGTATTCATCAATAGGAAAATGAATAAACAAAAATTCTGATATTTCCACATGAAATGAAATAGTACCAATTAAAAAACATACGCAGGGCCGGGGATTTAGCTCAGTGGTTCCATTGCCTGCTTCACAAGCACAAGGTCCCGAGTTAGATCCCTGGTACCAAAAACAAAATGCGAAAAAAAATCTCAGAAAATATGCTGTATGAACTATATGACTACACTTGTAGATCAGGGTTGCCTAGAGTTGGGGAGGAGGGCTG